TTTGAGCATTAAATATTAATACAGCAATAACAAAGGTGCTCCTGGAGCAGGGCTGACCCATTTAGACACTGAACTTCCTCATAGCTGAGCCACTCTCACTGTGTAACTGGTGTAATGGGGAGTCCCATGGGGCTGCACCCTCTGATGGCACTTGTCACGGTCACACAATGTCCTGCTGTCACCCATGAGTCTCCCAGGAAAGCTGTGGGTGCCAGGCTGAGGCCAGGCCACCCATGTCACGCGCAGAATCAGTCTTGCAAAGAGCCATTGTGCTGCACAGGGGCATCAAAGAACGAACGGTCTGAGGAAACATCAAAGCTGGTTTTTAGCCCAAAGTCCATCACTTGTGTTCACTGAGGTGTCTGGGATGTCCCCAGTGAGTGCTGCACGGGCTGTCCTGTGGGGTGGTGGCTGGGAGAGGATCCTGGGGCACGGTGCATGTGGTGATGCTCATCCCTTGGTCAAATCCAGGAGCCTCCTTGCCTTGGTCCAGGATTGTCCAGCCCTTTGCTGTGTTCCTGTATGGAGGAGAAACTCACTGGGGAGTCTGGTTGTAATTATGGCTCCGTCATCGGGCAGTGTGTGTGCTGCAGATGAGGTGACACAGCCATGCAGGGTGAGGTCCTGTCCCAGCCATGCTGTGATGTGCTGCAGTTGGTGGTGCAGAGCCCAGGTGCCCAGCAGACCATGGCCACTGACCATCTCCTGCCCCAGCAAAGGATTTTCTGCTTTGTATTTTGCTCTGTATTTGGTTTCAGGAGCTACCTGGGAAGCTGCAGGGCTGAGCCTGGGGAGAGCTCTGCAACCTGGTTTGATATTTTTTCAGAAGCCCTCAGGGAGGTGTCATGCAGGTCTTTCCTGCGCAGGAGAAACTTGATGCAACCTGAACCAGCTCCATTTCCAGCTTCTTCTTGGGGAGGAGTTAAACTTTTCCTTATGGGCTGACGATTACGGTGTCAGAGCAGCCAGTAGATCCTCGCTGTAGCTTAGAGGGGAGAGACGGGGACCTTATTTTCTGTTGCCTCTTCTCCCCCTCGTTCAGCAGGACTAAGTCCTGGAGACCTCGTGCTTTGCATTAGTTTCATTTTTGGCAGCTGAATAAAGCCGTGCCAATCCCAGAGAGCTGAGTGGTATTACCCAGGGAATTTAGAGCAGTGGAACAAAGCAAAAGCCCTTTCAACCTTTAGCTGCCAGGTTTTTTTTTGTCTGTGTTTTTTCTAAACTCTGCCCAGGCGGCGTGTGGAAGGCAAACAACTTGTGGGTGGTGCTGATGGAGCAAAATGGGGGGGAGAATGAGATTTGCTTTTGCTGAATTTTGCTGAATATTGGCTTTGCTGTAGTGTCCTGTGAACCTGGCCTCACCTCACCAGCCAAAGCCCCCACAGCCACCTCTGCCCTCCCAGCTCCATGGGGCTGGGGGCTGCACCCACCGGTGACACAACCCGCGGTGTCACGGGAGCAGTGACAGCACCTTCCCTGCTGACTTGGGTGTGTGAAGTCGTTGCTTGTTGAGCATATTCTGTGCCATAAATGTTTATTTTTCAGTCTTTCTCCTGGTGGCTTTTTGGCTTCTCACCTGGAGGGGGTTGTGAAGGTGTGTTAGTGCTGGAGGCACCTTCCCTTCCCACCCTGGGAGTGAGAAGGTGACTTGAAAAACCACTATTTTTATCTCTGTAGTGAAGAGCACTTTTCAACGCCCTCCTCATGCTGGGCTGGTTTTGTTGGAGTTCCCAGACAATGTTTTAAAAACATTCAGCAAACTTTCTCCTAAGGTTTTGTAAATTTCATTTGGCCAGCAGAGAGTTGCCTCCCTCACCTTCAGCTGGTCACCCAGACCCTTTCTGGGGTTTTTTCTCTTTATTTATTGCTTTCAAATGGCTGTTGTTGGTCGGTGGGGAGCAGGATCCTGCCCCAAGCTGAGGCTGAGGAACCATATTTTGGTTCCCTCCAGTTTGAGGAAGTTGTGCTGAATTTTGGCAGGGGATTTCCATGAATTTGTGCCACCGTGTCTGTCCCCACAAGACCCACAGATGGAGAGAGCAGCTCAGCTGCTGTAAGCCTTTGGGTGCTGCTTTCTCTTGCTGCTGTCGATGGTCACCAGTGCTCCTGCCCGGTGGATGATGCTTTGGCTGTGGATCCTCTTCCATCATTTATCTGCCAAGCTTCGTGCTTCAGGAAGAGATGTTTATATAGGCACTGCTGCAAAAATCCTTTTATTTATATATAGATGTATACATACAGATACATAAACACTTACTGCACTTAACCCAGCAAACTGTTTAAGAATCCCTTCCCCATGGAAATTCTGCCAATATTTCTTCTGCATGAACGTTATTCAGGCTGAGCTGGAGGGTGGTGGAGGCTGTAGCCACAGCTCTGCTGGCAGTGGGGACATGTCTGTGTCCGTGTCCCTGTCATGGGGACATGTCTCTGTCCATATCCCTGCCATGGGGACATGTCCATGTCCCTGACCCCACTGTGGGCAGTAGGGACGTGTCCATGTCCCCACCAAGAACAGCAGGGACATGTCTCTGTCCCCTCCATGGGCCATAGGGACATGTCCATGTCCCCATCAAGAACAGCAGGGACGTGTCTCTGTCCCTGCCGTGGACAGCGATCCCACACCTCCAGCCACTTTGTGGGATAACCCAGGTGGATTTTTTGACCGAAGTTAAACGTGACGTGAGAAGGATGGAGCAATCATCATCAGTGTTAATTAACTCCTGTGCAATTGTCTCCTACAATTAGGGAAAACAACTCGCTCTGTGGCTTGTTGCTACAGGTTAATTTTCTCCTTTCAAGCTGAGAGTGTTCACTAAACTGCTCTGTGCTGCCCCAAACCAGCTTCCTTCGCTGTGTAGCTTGACCTGCAGCCTTAATTAGCCAGGAGGTTTCTCATTAGCCTCGTGCTCGCCTGTCACATCTCTGGGAATCACCGTCTGCCCTGTGCAGGCTGCGTTTGGTGCTGTGGGATGGACCTGAAAGAACCGAGAGCGGCTGGGGAGGTGGGATGGATGGTGGCTCTGGGGCATCACAGTGTGGGCTGGGTTGATGCTCCAGCCCTGGAGCAGCCGTCCTCATCCTGCTGGGATTGGGGCTGCTGCATCCTCATCCTGCCGGGATTGGGGCTGCTGCTGTCTGCTCCTCGGAAGACTGAAAGGCTTTCTCTTGCTCCTGGGTGATGTCTGTCCTCTGAGCTGGTGTCCTGTGCAGGTTCCTGCTCTCTGGAATGAGAAAATGGCTGTTTTGAGGTGGGGGAAGGAGCCGGCTGAGCCTTGCACATGTGCACCCGCCGAAGAGAATTAAACCGTCACACTCTGCAAAGGCCAGGCAGCAGGAACTCCGGATAAAAATGCCTCAGGCAGAAAATGAGCTTTATAGTGTTTGGCCAGCTTCAGATGAGGTGACAGATGCTTAATCAGCTTATTTGCCATAAGTGTCTGTCTGTCGTCTTCCCTTCCCAGGATGGGACACTGCCAGCAGTGTGGCATCGGGGGGTGCAGAGCCCGAGTGTCCCCGCTCCGGACGTGCCAGGATATTTAAACATTGAATTTGATTTTCCAGCAGTACCCTGGGTGGGAGGTTGTCCCCGAGGTGGGACAGGGTGTTGGACCAGCTCTGGGGCTGCACAGGGCTTGGTCTGGAGGTGGGATTTGCAGGGAGAGAATGGAGATGTTGTTGTCTCTCCACGGGCGGGCTGGAGTCGGTGTCTGGTTCTGGAGATGCTATCGGTGCTGGGATTGAATGGCCGGGGAGGGAGGGAGGGTCAGTGCCTGCTGGGCCAAACACACAAAGAGCTGTTCTTCTTCGTGATCCGATTATTCCTTCCCCCCCTCCCCCTGTTTCAATAAGGACCTTAAAGCGAGGGAGGAAAAGCTGTCAGACAGGGTTCTGGTGTTCACCGGCACCCCGATTGATGCGTTTCTAGGCAGGTGGAAAGTGACACCAAGTGCTTTGAGACCAAGGTGTCATTCCTCGCACGTGGCTTCAGCCATGGCTGGCACCAGCTTGGTGGCTTTGTTCTGTCTTCAGCTCCTTGGTGGCTCTTTCAAATCCTGCTCTTCAGCCCTTTCTGCTGGTCCATGATAGACCAAGCTGGTGCTGCTCTCTAAGGCCACCCCATGAGTGGGACATCACACAGAATCCCAGACTGTTTTAGGTTAGGAGGGACCTTAAAGCTCATCCAGTCCCAACCCCCCTGCCATCAGCAGGGACACCTTCCACTAGACCAGGTTGCTCAAAGCCTCATCCAGCCTGGCCTTCAACACTTCCAGGGAGGAGCAGCCACAGCTTCTTTGGGATCACCAGTCATCATCTCCCAGAACTCAGGTCAACTTTGTGGTTGCTCTGAGGGCCACTGCCTGCTGACTCAAACAGCTGGTTATTATGGTTGTATTTGCCATATTTTCTGGTGTGGGACATTCACTTATCTCTGGCATTGAAGCATGTGCCCAGGGCACCTCATGCTGGGGCACTGCAGAGCTGCCTTGTTACTGACTCTCTGCCTCGTGGTGTTCAAAACCCAAGCTTGTCTTCCTCAATTAAGCTGCAGGATGATGGGAGGTTACCTGGGGCATCTTCCCTCCTGCAGCTGTGTCCAGGTTCTGCTCTGACCTGGTGTCAGGCGAGAAGGCATGACGTGAAGTGGCACTATGGGTTGTTGCATTCAGCTGATGTCTTGGCTGTGTTCAACAGCTCTCATTGTGGTGTGTGGTTGAGTGTTGGGCTACTTCTGCACTGCTCTGATCCTGTTCTTCTGAATTACCCTAAATGAGAAAAATATTTGCCCTTCTGGACCAACAGGGCTGTTGTTTTGAGCGTTATTTGCAAGATGTGGGTAAACTTCAGGCTTTTTGGTGTAAAGCCAGCATCCTCTGACAGACCTGGGGGGATGCTTGGGTTGAGTTGTTAAGAGGGATGTGAGGATTTGTTGTTATTGCATTGATGACCATCCCACTCATCTCCACTAACCCCTGGTGATGTTCTTGTCTTTCCTCTAGACGATTATGGAACAGTTCAATCCCAGCCTCAGGAATTTCATTTCTATGGGGAAGACCTATGAAAAAGCCTTAGCAAGTAAGTGAAACTGCTGCTGATGTGTTTGCTGCTGAAGGGCTGGGAGGATGGTGAGGGTCTGGCTGGAGAGTGTGCCCTTGGAAGGGAAGAGAGAGCTGGAGAACCAGCTTGAGATGCTCTTTGTTCCCAGGGGAGGAAACTGGGAAGATGGTTCTTGGACCTTGATGCAAAGCTCTGGTCATTAGGATGTGCAAGGCACGTGTGTGCTGAGGGGCTGTGGAAGGGACTCAAGTGATAAAATGTTGGGTGGCAGCTGGATAACACGTACATCTCCAGTCAGTTTATCTTTAAATACTGCTTCAAAATATTTAAAATTAAGATTTTTAAGTTCTATTTAAAGGTGTTATTGAAATGTTCACATTGCCCAGAAGAATGCATTGGAAAGGAAGGAAAAAGCCTAAAAATATTGGTGGCAGCTCTTGATTGGGAATAGAGTGTCCTATTGGGAGCCATTAGGGAGGTGTAGAGTTAAATGATCCAAAGAAAAATACAACTTGATGAAAACCAGAAATGGGCTGTTTTGACTTAAAATGACTCTGCATACTGCCTGGGCCCTGCTCGGCTTGGTTTTAAGGAGGTTCATGGCGTAGTTCGACCCCAGAGGCAGCTGCTTTCTTTGGGGGAGGGCTCTGCTCACTCCAGAGCTGTGCTGCACATGTCTCTTGGATTTTATTTTTTTAATTGGTTCGGTGACAATGCCTGTGAGGGGAGAGGCTGTCATAATCTTAAGACAGTGGGGGGGAAAAAAAATAACTATTTTGGCGTCTCATGTTCTTCAACGCCGATGTTTGAAATACAACCTTTGGGAAGGATCTGTGCCTTCCTGCTTTGTGCCTGGAGCAAATTTTATTTCCCACAAGTCAAATGAGGTTCCTGGATGTTTCAGTGAAGGATTTTTTAAGACACAGACCTCCTGCCCTTCTCAGGTACCGCGCTCCCCTGCACGCTGCTTGCCTGCCAGTTCTCAGCGTTGTTTTTAATTAGATTTTAATGGATCAACTGGCTGGAACGTGGGAAGTGCCTGTCCATCCTGGTCCACTGCACAGGAGCTGAGGACTCTGATCCCCCAGGGACGGGGCACTTAATTACACCCTCACCAGCAGCAGAATTTCCCAGCTCTTCCTAATGACACGATGCTAACGAAGCGGGGGTTCATGAGCTGGCTGTGCTCCTGCCTGCTGTTTCCCTGCTGGGTCTCCAGCTGGGTGCAGGCAGCAGGGAAGGGAGGAGAGGTTGTACTTGGAACTGTTTTTTTTATTTATTCTTCTAAAATGTTATACTGATAATGCATCTTTTAATTACCCGGGTGGTGGAGTCTCTTTATTACACGCCGTTTTATCACAGCTGAAGCTGGGCACGCTGGAACCGCAGTGTTTTGTGGATAACCAGCGTGATGGCTCCTTTCTATTTCTCTCACATCCCTGCTGTGAATACACTTTGAAGCCCAAGATCTTCCCATAATTTTTAAGATTGTCTTTGGTCATCCTTTACTTTGAATCTCCAAGCTTGTGGGGGCATCTGAAGGAAGTGTCTTAATCAGTAAATCAGGCTGGAAGAGGCTCCAGCGCATCGTTGGATGGTGCTGAGCTAAAGCTGTACAACATGTTCTGGTGATCAGAGGAAACCCCCTGCTTATCTGATTAAAGTGGAGTGTGCAGCTGGAATGTCAACAAACAAGGCTGAACGATAATGAAAGTCTGTGATATTCCATTATTCCGCAGTGATTTTTGCTGAGCAGCATTAAGCAGGCTGATGGTTACACTGGAATGAAAACCACCTCAGTCCTGCATGTACCTTTTTTCCCTCCTTTTTTTTTTATTCTCTTAAATAGCTCTATAATCTTGCTGCTTGAGCTTTCTTTCGTCACTCATTTTTCTTCTGTTTAGTCCCTCCCCATGGGGTTAAGCCCTTTGAAGTAATGTCTGGTTTAGTGTGTAGCATCTATTCCGTGCCACAGAAGTGAAATAGTTGTAAAAAAGATTATAACCTGCATTGTTTTATGCTTTTAGGTATGACATACGCAGCAAAAGGATATTTTGATGCTCTGGTGAAGATGGGAGAGTTGGCCAGTGAAAGCCAAGGATCTAAAGAATTGGGTAAGTCACCAATTTACTGCTGAGTGGAGTCACAGTCCAGAGCAGGCTCTGAGCACGGGAGTGAAACCAGATTTTTGCTGTTGGTGACAAACAGGCTCAGTGAGAAGCTGGTCCTGCCTCATGTGAATGGTGAAAGTGTCTCTGTGTTTACTGCTAATGTAGATTTGGAAAAAAAATAAAATTAAAAGCCTGCTATTCTTAGTGCCCGGATTTTGGGGCACTGTCAGCTCGTGGTGTTTGCAGAGAGCAGCTTTGCCAGCGTCTGGGGTTGTACCCTGAGCCAGGCAGAGCTGTTGGAGGATCTGCTGCATGTTCTCTGCAGCCTCCCCCTGCAGCGCAGCTGGCGACTTGTATTTGCTCAGTCGATCCGAGTTGTGATGGATGCCACAAGCTGCGATGCTCGGTGCCTCCTTCCCCTTTCTTGTCTTTATTCCTCCAGTAAGTCGCTTGGGAGCTGCCTTTCCAGCCTTCCCATCGCTCAGATGTGGTTCCTGTGTTCTCCCCCTGATCTGCCCCCTCCTCGCTGCTGTTTTGCTGCACAAACATGGTTGAGGTGACTCTTCTCCCATCCTCCCCCGGGGATGCTGCAGCCTCTCATTAATGTCTCATGAGGCTGAGATGGGTTTTGGTCTTGTTGCCTTTGCAGTCCCAGGTGTATTCCTCCTCTTCCTCCCAGTCCCTCCTGCAGGTCAGACTCACTGGGTTGCTGGTCTAGGAGGGGGCAAGCTGTCCTCGTTAACACCATTCCCCCGAGGAGGTCAATTAACAGAAGAGGTTGAGCTGCAATGACTCTAAAGGCTGCTGAAGCCATTGGTGAGCAGCCCCTTGGAGGGACCAGGCTTTGGTTTTACCATGTTGTGTTGGGTGTTGGGTGCAGCTTTGCTCCGGCTCCGCCGTGTGCAGCTCCTTGGCTGCCTCTGAATTTTGATGGGGAAGCAGTAAGTGTCTATGGAAACGGATTTTATCACTTGGATTAAAGCTGCCTATAGCAATCTGCTTCTGTTTAATAAATAGAACAAAAGAGCCTTGTGTGCGATGCAGGCGGTGACTGAGACTGAGGGCTCTGCAGATCTTGCTCTCCAAGGGCTTCCTCTTCTGCTTCTTAGGGGGTGAAGGACACAGCCACTCTGTCCTCCTGGAAGTGAAAGCTCTGGAAAGGCTCAGCAGAGACATCTCAGCTGTGCGAGGGCAGGAGCTCAGGGGCTGCAAACCCTGCCTGCCCTTTGGAGCAGCTCCAGGTTTTGCTTAAACCCACCTTTGGTGTCTTCTGCTGGTCCTGTACCCTTGCCCAAGGATTTGACCGCAGGAGTCCTCAGTGCTGCAGTGTTTTGGGGTTGGTTTAACATATTCCCAAATTACTGTGCTTTCCCCTCTTGGTGTGAGCACATCCCAGGGAGGGTCCTGGCCACTCATGCTCAGCCCCCAGCCGTGGCGAGCGGCTGCTCCGCAGTCCTCTTGCTTTGTTGATTTTGCTGATATTTATTGTGGCAGCTGCTCCCTGCAGAAGAAAGTTAAGATAAAATTTCTGGCTGCAGTTTACTGGAGCTGATAACAGCCGGGGACACAACGGGATGTGTAAACAGGGGCTGAAGAATGCTTCAGCTGGGGGCTGTGCTCGCCAAAGGTCCGGCTTTTCCTGGGAACACCTTTACCTTATCGGTCACTGCGCCGTGATCACTGATAGTGCCGGAAAGCAGCGCTGGGCTCTGGGTTATTTCATTCCTTCCTAGAGGCTGCAGCAAATGGTGATGTTCAGAATTGCCACTTGCATTAAAGTTGTGTCCCTCATGCTCCCTCCTTGACAGGGACAGGACAGGGAAAGCTGCCCCCAGGCATCAGGCAGGACTCTGGGATGCTCTGGTTGGGTAATAGCAGCTCACAGCTGTTTCCAGCCTCCAAGGGAAAACATCAGATTTATTTTTTCCCCCTCCTTAACCTTTTCTGAATGTGGATACTTTCCTGATGCCATTTCTGGGACAAGGTGTCAAAAGAACAGGAGAACTTGTGAATCCTGTGGCTAAGAGGTGATGAAGGCAGCCAGCTCTGTCCCCAGCTCTCCTGCAGCACATGGGGATGGGGAGCTCGGGTGGGTTTGTGGTGCTGGGGGGACTGGGGGAGGCTGCCCTGCGCTGTGGCTCTTGGTGCTCAGAACCAGCTGTGTTTTCCTGATACCACCTCTCCAGAACTTGTGACTCCAAGGAGCTGCTCTTTAAGTTGGTCACTGGAAAACTGCCCATCAGTGCTGGTTCCTGACCGTCCGGTGCAGTGAGCCAGGGTGACCTGTCCTGCTCGGTGCTGGCTTTTTGTAAAAACATGTTCCTCTGATGGTTGTGATGCTGCACGTTTGTTGTGCTGAAAACCTTCAGCCTGCCAGAGCCTCACCTTGGTCTCAGCCCATCATCTGCTCCACACTTCACATCTTTCATAAATTCTCCATCAGATTTTAGCAACTGTGTGTAGACAGGATGATCCTGAGTGGTACTGGAAAGCTCAGTGATAATGAGGTGCTGGAGCTGTAATTGGCTCTGTGGCTTGATTTTTTAGGTGTGAGTGTCTGGCAGGGGGGAAGGTC